CTGTGCAGAGGTTCTGAGGGGAGAGAAAAATACAGTCCCTTCTAAATCAGGAAGTATACAAACTCTTGTACTTACATCTTTTCTTCTCTTTTTAATTTTATTTATTTATTTTAAGTAATCTCTATACCCAATATGGGGCTCGAACTCACAACCCCCAAGATCAAGAGTCACATGTTCTGACTGAGCCAGCCAGACGCCCTTACATTTTTCAACTTACAAATACTTAACACTGGTAGCCAGCCTCCGAGATGGCCCCCAATGGTCCTCAACTGCTAGTATGCACACCCTTGTGCAGTCCCCTCCAACACTGAATATGGGTAACCTGTGTAACCAATAGGATAGTGTGGAGACAATGGGTGTATGACTTCTGAAGTTAGGTCCTAAAAGACACCATGACTTCTGTCTTGCCCCCTTTTGGATCATTTGCTCTGGGGGAAGCCAGCTGCCATGCCATGAAGACACCCAAGCAGCCTATGGAGGGGTCAGTGTGGCAAGGACCTGAGGCCTCATGCCAACAGCCATGTGAGGGGACCTTCGTGGAAACACATCTTCCAGGCCTAGTTGACTGTAATCTAGGCCAATATCTTGACTACATTCTCTTCAAAGACCTTGAGTCAGAACCATCCGAAGAAGCAAATCCATATTGCTGATGTACAGAAACAGTGGGCGAGAGATAACTAATGTTTATTGTTTCAAGTTGCTCAATTTGGGGGGTTATTTGGCAATAGATAAAGAATACGCTCACTGATGTGCTCAAAGACACCTTCCAGAGCAAAATGCATCAGCTTTTATCCTTCAGGCATTTTCATTTCAGTTATGGGATTATTATAGTCCACAGCTTGTTTGGTAAATTCGTGTTGGGTTTTTGAGATATTTTTATGAAGGTTGTCATTCCATTTTATCTAGGAAACACAAAGGCAGAGCTGAAAGAAAGAAGCAAAAGACAGAGTCGGAAGTGGGGATCAGAACAAAAGCTGAAAGTGATGAGAGAATTACAAAAAGTGCACATGCCTAAGGGACGGTTATGTTCAGTCACTGTGACTCTAAAGGACAGAGGGCAGTGGCAACAGGTGGAACATGTCCACCATCAACAGCAATCAACAAGCGATGAGGAAAAGCAGTTGATGACATGGAGAAATCTTAGAATCTGGTGCCTCAAGGATCGGCACCAACCAAAGATTGGCTGCCCGTTAGCTTTTTGAGGCTCAGGGCTTATTTGAGGACTTTAAGACGAGACCTAGCAAAGACCCACCAGAGGTTCACTGGGGATGGCTCCTTGGCTTGAAGACCCGTACTGATCTGCACAGCGTCAAAATGAGCAGGAGATGCAAATATCTTCACTGCCAAGGATTCCCCACTGCACTTGTAGGGAGAAGGCTTATCTGCCTCAGCAGATTTTTCAATGTGGTCACTTCCTGATAGAATAAATGGTTATACTATTTCAAAGAACAGACTCACTCATTAATAGAAATGCCTTTGGTGACTGATCCTGCCTTTTTTTTTTTAAGATGTTATTTATTTATTTATTTGACACAGAGAGTGAGAGAGCACAAGTAAGGGGAACAGTAGAGGGAAAGGGAGAAGCAGGCTCCCAGCCAAGCAGGGAGCCCGATGAGGGGCTCAATCCCAGGACCCCGGGATCATGACCTGAGCTAAAGGCAGACACTTAACCATCTGAGCCACCCAGGCACCCCGACTGATCCTCTTATTCATACATTCATTCAACAAATATCTATTGAGCTCCAAGAATGTGCTAGATACTGTTCTAGACACTAAGGCTTTGATGGTGAACAGGAAATTCATAAAGTTTCATTTTTGTTTTTAATGGGGGCAAAAACAGTAAGTATGTAAACAAAATAGATAACAATGTCAACTACTATTAAGTGCTATGAGGAAAAAATAAAGCAAGGTATGATAGAATGAGTGGGGAGAGTCTTCTGCTATTTTCAGAAGGCTGGTCAGAAAAGGCTTGTTTGAGGAAGTGATATTTGAGTCACCTCTTAGTAACTTTAGGTTTACCAATGTACAGACAAGAAACTGACTTTGAATCCTAACCTGCTCATAACTAGACCACATCTGTAGTTCAATATGGCTGCAGCTTAGAAGTGAAGGATGTGTGCAGGGAGAGGCTTGGTCCATGAGATGAGTCTGAAGAAGGGAGCAGTAAACAAATCATAAGGGGTTTTATAAGCCACAGTAACTAGCTTAGGCTTCATCTAGAGGACAATGGGGAGCCACAGAAAGGTTTTAAGTTGGGGAGTGAAAGGATCAAGATTATCTTAGATAATCAGTCTTGAGGGCTGCCTGGGTGGCTCAGTCAGTTAAGTGTCTGACTTTGGTTCAGGTCATGATCTCGGGGTCCTGGGATGCAGCCCCGAGTCTGAGTCCAGCTGCACCCTCAGCATGGAGTCTGCTGTCTCTCCCCTTCTGCCCCTCCCCCTGCTCATGGTCGCACGCACTCTCTCTCTCAAATAAATAAAACCTTTTTTAAAAAAAGAAAATTACTCTCGATATAGGGTAGAGACATCAACCCTGAAGGGAGGGGAAATGGTTAATAGGTTGTTGCTGCAATGACCCAGACAGTAATCCAAATTAAATTAAAGAGGCAATGGGGCTAGAAGGAAGGCAACAAAAATGAAAGGCAAGATCTGGTGGTTGTAGAGTATGAAGAAGACAGAATAATATGACATGGAGAAAGGTAGGCTCATTTATTGAGAATGGGAAAGCAGAGGGTCGAGGCAAGTGAAAGAAGATGAATTCAGTTTGGGACGTGTTGAGTGTGAGGTATCTACAGGACATCCCAAGTGATTGTAATAAGAAGTTGCATATAAAGGTCTGGGGCAGAACTGTGTCTGAGATAAACAGGTTTGGGAGATGAAATGGTCATTGAAACCAAGAGAGGACAGATAGGTCATCTTTTCTGAGTGAAAAGTAAAAAGGGTCAATGGCAGAACTGCAAGGAAAGCCAACATTTATGGGATTGGCAGCAAAAGGGCAGAGACAGTAAAGAAAAGATACAAAACACAAAGACTGATCAGAACCAGTGAGAATCATCAGTGAGATGTGGGGCATTATGATTTCACAGTTCCATCTGGTCAACTGGCTCATTCTGTGGAAGCCAGTCGCTTCCTCATCTTTGACCCCCTGACAAAGCTGTTGTTCATTCAACAAATTTTATTGAGCCTCTACTATGTGCCAGACACTGTTCTTGGTGCTAGGGACACATCTGTGAGCAAAAAAGACAAATGCCCTGACTTTAAGGAGTTTACATTCTAGTGTGGGGAACATATAAGAAACAAACATTAAAAATAGGTAAATATTACAGGGTGGTAAATGCTATGAAAAAAAAAAACACAGTAGATTAAGAGGCATCAGGAGTATAGAGAGGGTGTGTAAGCAATTTCCAGTGGGACAGAGTAGACCTCATTGACTCGGTGATACTTAAGCAAAACCTTGAAATTTCCCAAGTCGGTATCTGGGGGTAGAGCATTCCAAGCGGAAGTTACAACCAGTGCAAAGGTCTTGAGGCAAGAGCAAGCTTAGGAAGTCCCCAGGCAGTGAGGAGTGTTAGGGTGCTAGGGAGGAGATCAAAGAAGAAATAGGGAAGCATCAGGCAGGATTTTAGCCTTTGTTCTGAGAAAAATGAGGGACTCTGGAGAAGGTTTCGAGCTTAAGAGTGACATGTCTAAGGTTTTCTAAAAGGGTCAGTCTGCTGCATTTAGAGTAGATACTGAGTGGCAAGGGCAGAAGCAGGGAGACCTGCTGGCAAGCCAGTGCAGAAATTGAGGCTCAAGATAACGGCGCCTTGAGCCAGGATTATAGCTGTGTGGGTTTCCGGATAGTCTGGAAGTGGGATGAAAGGGAAAGAAAAGACGAGAACAACACCAAGGCTTGAGTCCTAAACAAAGGAAAAGATGTAGCCATCAACTGAGACCGGAGACTCTGGGAGGAGCAGGTGGGTTTTCTGGGGGGTGTGGGGAGTGAGGGAGAGAAGGGTAGGGATCAGGAGTTCAATGCCTGGACTGGTTAAATTTCTGACGTCAATCCAAGTGGAGATGTCCAGCAGGAAGCTGCCTGTACGAGTTTAAAGATCGGGAGAGAAGTCTGAGCTAGAGGTCCATGAAGTTGTCAGCATGTAACTGGTATTTAAAGCCTCAGGGATGAACAAATACACAGTATGGAATGGGATGCGTGCTGCCAAGAAAGAGCAGGAAAGGGAGGAGGGAGCGGGAGTGCCCGCGCGCGCGCGTGTTTGGGGGGGGGGTAACTTTATGAAATACGGCCAGAGGGACACCCGCCGTCTGGCGCTGGGCGGCAATGTGGCGCCATGCACGCGAGGCAGGAGGCCCTCCGGGCCAGGGCAGGGCGCCGAGGCGGCAGGGCGGCCCAGCAGGCCCACGTCCAGGCTCAGGGCCACGGCTCTCTCGCCCGCTTCCTGCCCGTCGGCCGAAGCCGAAACTCCTCTACCGGGTATCTTCAGCTTCCTCCCCAAACGAGTGAGCTGTGAAGATGGGGGGGCAAGCCGAGGAAACGGCCGCAGGGCGGACTTCATTCATACCATACAGCTCGACTGCTTTAGAGTCGATCTTAATAACTGGTAAGCTCGTAAAAGCAACACAATCACAACTTTTACGATGACCCGAGAGCCCGGGAGGCCTCCCTTCCGCGCGCGAGCCGCCTCGCCCGCGTCACTCTGAGGTAACAGCCTTTCTCTTCAATCGCTCCATGGAACCCCCAGGGCGGGAGGCCTCCTCCACTACGGGTAGAAGGATGGATCAAGTCACGCTGCGCGAACAAGGTTGATCGAGCGCCACAAAAGGACTCGCAGGGCGGGGCGACCCGACGACTCTCTCTCTCTTGTTTTCATTGGCTGCGATCGCGAGACGCTCCTCCCGGACTGGCTACTTGGGAGCCTCGGAGCCGGCAGCAGCCCGCCCCTTGGGCGCGCGTGCGCACGCGTGGCGGGTGCTCACCGCACTGAGCAGGCGCGGCCTCGTGTCGGCTGAAGGGGCGGGTGGAGCGGCGCGCGCTGCGTCCCGGCGCTTGGCTTTCCCTGCCGGTCCCGCCCTCCGTCGCGGCGGCGCGGTGTATTTTGGGATAGGGAGCGATCTCCGAGCGAGGCAGCAAGATGGACGCGGGATTCTTCCGCGTAAGTAGAAGCGCGGGGATCTGGGGTGAGGTGAGGGGCTTATCGGTAAGGCCCGGCAGGGGGCCTAAACTCGGGACGGTTGTGGCCAGCGAGGGGAGGCTTCGAAGATCCTGATGATCTTCCGTGCCAGCGGACGCTCCCCCTGCCCTGCGGCGGAGACCGGTGCGCCCCTGCGCAGTCTCCTCCTCCGGGATCGTCCCCCCTACGCGGCAGCGACGGTCGCCGGAAAATGGCGGCGGGAATGGGCCGGAGCGGTACCCCGCCGCCCGCCTGCCTGGTGGGGCCTGCAGGCCGAGCCGCGCGCGCCGCCCCGTCCTGGGGCCTAGTTGGGCCGCGAGGAGGAAGTCCCTGTGGGGAGGCCGGAGGGAAGCCCTGAGGTGACTGGCGGAGGGAGGATTCTGGAGAGTACGGTTTTGAGGGTACCGCCCCAGGAGAGCGTATTAGGAAGGACAGGAAACGGCGTTCAGCGGCTTCTCATAAGAGAGCAGCGCCGAATCCCCCCCACCCTCCGTCCTAAGTCTTCGCGGAGGCGCGGGGTCAGAGTTCGCGGGAACTCCCGCCCAATTTGATAATTCCTTTAGGGAGGGGAACTCCGATAATAGGTAGTTGGAACGTTTGAATCTGAGACTAAGGGCAACCGGTGCAACAAAAAGTGTGCACGTGTATGGAGGCAGGGGCCGGGGGTGGATCAACTCTCCTTCCCGCACACCGCCCCCCACCCGCGTTGGTTTTACTGTTTTGAAGTCCGCTGGAGAAAAAGGGCCTCTTACTTAGGTTCTCTCGGGGCCGCGCGCCCAACACCTGCCGGCGGGGAAGCTATCTCGTCGAAGTTGGTGCTCAGGGCCCAGACTTTAACAGGCTGGTACTGCTGGAACCTGTTTGTCCCATATTCCACTCCAGTAGGAAATGATTACCGAGTAGAGATCTAGATGGGTGGGAAGTGACACTAATAGGACTAAAGTTTGCACATGCTTTTGATGCAGAACGGACCATATGGATGGAGACCAGTGCTTTTGGTCAAAATCTATACTTCATGTAATGTAGGTTGGCTCTTTCCACTCCCTGGAGCGTATAATTCGCAGTTTGCGTGTTTTTAAAGGGAAAGTTGGAAGAGGGGGAAGACCAAGACTTTAAAGAACATAACTCTTGACATTCTGAAGTCGACAATGAAATTCTTTAATTGGCTTTAATTGTGCCAACTAGTTTTTAATCAAAAATCTCGGGATTATTCCAAGCACCTACTTAAAATAGGCAGTTGTTTGTTCGTAGGCTGGGCAGATCCTGTAGTTATTTCTGTAATGATAGTCTCAGTTGAGAGCTTATCAAATTTCCATTCTTTTGATGAACTGGTTTTCTAATTTCCATCAAAGTATTTTGTAGTACTGCTCGATATTCCCATGATCCAAGTGCAGTATGTTGACAAAAGCCTATTCTTAGGATTTTTGTTGGCTGTTGTTTCCAATGGAAGAGAGTTCCAATAGAAAAAGAACAAGGCGGTTGATAAATTTTTAAAACGTTTGCTTTTGGTGTTAGTAAAAATCTGGAAGAAAAAGTTGTGGGTTTTTATATACTACCTATTATTCCTTAGAGGAGTTGGACTGGATTTAAACTCCAGTGAAAAGAATTTAGGGAGTTACCTTGTTAGTACAGCCAACCAGATAGTAAACTGAATTTTTCAGTTCAGATAGTAATGATAGCTTTCATTTGCTGATTTCTGCCACATGCCAGTTACTTTACATAAATTATTTTTGAGATACACAGCCCTTGCAAAATAGATTTTAGCAAGTAAGGAAACATTCTCAGAGGTTAAGGAACTTTGAGTCATTATGGCTGAAGTTTTGGCAGAATTGGGGTTCTAATCCAGGTTCTTTACCTTCCTAAACAGAATTTTTTCTTGATCACTTTCTAAGGGACAGTGGCCAACTTAATGCAATCAGTAGATTTCACATCACATAGCCGGTTATTTGGTCCAGTTGGAATGACAAAATGCAGACTAATTAGGGATCACTTAATGGTCTCAATTAGTATTTGTAAGCTCTCATTTTTCCAAAGTCATTGCTGAAATTAAGTGAGTTAATTAAGGTAAACCTGTATTTTTCATGTATTCCAAGTTCTTAAAGTTGTGAAAACTAACAGAGTCCTAGGGAGTTTTCTTTTTCCTTTTCGACCTGTTTATATGCACTGCCACAGTAATTTTGTAAGCATGCTACTGGTTGTCACGAGAGGATGAAATTTAATGGTCTTGTTTGGATGTATAAAGTATAGTAAATATTTCAATTTTTCTCATTTATACAAAACCTTAAAAGTCTTTTAACAGAAAAAGGTGTAAAAAGATACACATCAAACTTGGTTGTGGGGGAGGTGCTAGCTTTATGTTGTATACTGCTATACTCTTTGAATTGTTACAATGAGCTTGTATTTTGTTTGTAATTTTTAAATACAGTCAAGTTTTTTCAATGTTAGCTTCATTGGGAAAAAAAGTATACATTCTACACCTATGAATGTTAGCTGTGGTGTTTTCTATTTATTTGATCACTCTGTTTTCTACTGTAAAGGTCATAGCCATCATGAGCTGGTAAAAAGTAGGCATTTAACTTTGAACTCTTAATTGAAATGTTTCCTTTCCTGCAGGGAACAAGTGCAGAACAGGATAATCGGTTCAGCAACAAACAGAAGAAGCTACTGAAGCAGCTGAAATTTGCAGAATGCCTAGAAAAAAAGGTATTCTTCTGGATAAAACTTTTTGCACCTTTTATAGCCCAGTTGATTGAAACATTTTGGGACTGTTTTAATTAAACATTTTCCACCTTTTAGCAACACCGCACACAGAATAGCACAAGAATGAGTCAAATTGTACCATGCTACACCAAAAAATTTCCTAAGCTAAAAGGAACTTGGTTGGACAAAACTCTTAAGTGAGCTTTCTTTTAGGATTATGAACCTTGTACTCAAGAATTTCTTGCATGTTTTATCAGGTGGACATGAGCAAAGTAAATTTGGAGGTTATAAAGCCTTGGATAACAAAACGAGTAACGGAAATCCTTGGGTTTGAAGATGATGTTGTGATTGAGTTTATATTCAACCAGCTGGAAGTGAAGGTAATAATACACAAATGGCTCTTATTTCTGAATATGTAACATAATTTTGTGAATCTATGGAAACTGAATTTTTCAATGGAGTACAAATATAGGAGGGTTATTTTACAATGTTTGTTGTGAAAAGAATTCACTTTGTAAACAACTATTAAGCCTGGAAGTTTAGTGAAGGTACATAGTTTTGAAAGCTACACAGGTGAAAAATCAAACTTATTGTTTGTAATTTTGCTGTTACATGTTAAGTTACTTTGACAGCAATTTTCTAATGATAATGTGATTTATGATTTAAAAGGCCTGAACCAAAATGGAAGTTATTCCTTGCGTCTGAAGTATAGCACCATCACCTTATTAGGTCACAGCAGAGTGAGTGTCCCAATGTCGCTCTGACCCAACTCCCTTGATGATGCAGTGTGTGTTTGGAGGTGAGTTGTGTAAAGTGGCCGAACATCAACAACAACAACAAAAAAACACAAACAGGAAAGAGCAATTGGGTAAATCTATACACTGCTCTTTAAAAATACTATTATGAGATGGACGTTTATGTGAAGCATGAGGGGCAATTCTGATTTGATTGGATATTGTTTTTAAAATAATCAAGTAACTGAAGTCTTTAGTTGTAGCTGCATGTCAGCTAGTCATCAATTAACATTTTAGGCACAGACTTTTTTGTTTACATTATGCTTAAACTTCAGACTGAAATAAATTGGCAGCATTATTAGAACCAGTTAATATAGTTATTTCCTTTCTTCATTCGTGAGATAATATGAGATGATGATAGAATTGATGTTTTGAAACCGTTTTATTATAAGATAGTTTGTTGTTTTGCCACAGCAACCCAAGGGATAGTAGGATGTACCATATGACCTTTTGGCAAATATACCAATGTGAATTTACCTTTACGTTAATCCTTTTCCCAAAGAGTTCGCCCTTGTGTTTTGACAGAACAGTTGGCATTTCAACTGATAAGGTATTTCTATTTTTAAAATAATTTGGTAATTACATTTTGTTTTGAATATTTTTAAAGATTAATTTTAAGAAAGCACTTCCTTTAAAATGTATACATTTTACTTAGAAAACCAGGAACATGGGAAACCGTTTTTAAAATGATGAATAAAGATAGATTTTATTGGAGAAATGCTTTACTGATTTGTATTTTAGTGCTTTTTTAAAACCTAAGTATCTGGTAGTATTCCCCTTGTAGTGAGCATGAGATTAAAGTTTAGAACTTTTTTAAACAATCTTTTCTTTTTTTGTGGTTGTGTACTCATTATTGCTTGTTCGTCTTTTGCAATTTAGATAAATGATATAACATTAAACTCAAGGTGGTTGAGTTGCAGTAGGGAGTCGGAAGCAAGCCAAGGGAACATCTTTCTCTACAGGGGACTTGGCGATTCCAAACCCCCAAGGTTCCAAGAAGAAACTGAAGACACCTGGAATCTGTACTTGCTTTGTGCTATTGAGCTGTGCTTGTTATATGGACCTTGTTGCTTGACCAACAGATTTAGCATTTAAAAACCCAGTTACTTTTGGGAAAACTTGACCTCTTAGCCCTTTGTGGACAGTTGAGAATTTGAGGCATTGTTATAATAGATTTTCCTTATATAGAATTCAGACTTTCAGCTTAGTCTTCAAAAGTTAAAGAGTGCATGCATAACTTGTTAGTTTTCATAACTGGACGGTAGATGTTTTATAGAAAGCTATCTTACAGTGTTAGAGAAGTGAACAGTTTATGTACTTTTTCAGTTTCTCATTGGGGGAAAATTCCCAGGCAAGCAAACATTTTCTTTATTAGTAAATGCAGGAATTTGTGGATGTTCATGATGGTTTTTAAAGTTAATAAATGTAAGTAAGGCCCACTAACAGCCACATAGTCTAAAAATACTTACGAAATCCACAAAGGATTAACAGGCTGCTCTGATGCTTTTGGTAGAGTGAGAGAGAATTTGGTAATCTGTGCTAGAGATTATATTGCTGAGAAACTATTAGGGAAAACTATTTTTTAAGTAGTAAAGAATATATATGTATTTAAGCCCCTATGGTAGACTTAAAAAATACTAATTTAATGAGTTTTAGGTTGGGTTGGTTGGCTTGTTTTGAAGTAACCTGTTTCTCTTCCTGTCATGTCTTTTTGCAGAATCCAGACTCCAAAATGATGCAAATCAACCTGACTGGGTTTTTGAATGGGAAAAATGCTAGAGAATTTATGGGAGAACTGTGGCCCCTGCTCTTAAGTGCACAAGAAAACATCGCTGGAATCCCTTCCGCTTTTCTAGAACTGAAGAAAGAAGAAATAAAACAGAGACAAGTAATAGCCTTTTCTCTTTTGTGTAATGTTGATTTGAGAGAGTAGTCTCCAGACTGCTAAGACACTTTAAATTTTACATGACCTAGAGCTAGGATCAGCATCAGCATGTTTTGCTTTGCTGTAATATATTCAGACATTCAGTTTTGATTCTTCACTCCTTTCCCCCAACTCAAACATTGAGTTTAAAATGTCATTTTCCAGGGCACCTGGGAGGCCCAGTTGGTTGAGCATCTCAACTCTTGGTTTCGGGCTCAGGTCATGATATCAGGTTCATGGGATCCAGCCCCTAGGGGTTCCGTGTTCAGCGGGGTGTCTGCTTCTCTCCCTCACCATCTCCCCCTGCCCTTTCCTCTCCCTGGGCACACATGCACGTGCTCTCTCTCTCCAAAATAAATAAATAAAATGTCATTTTTCTAGAGTCCAGTAATTTGGTAGATAAATTTTTTTTAAAGATTTTATTTGTCAGTGTGCGCAAGCAGGGGAAGCGGCAGGCAGAGGGAGAAGCAGGCTCCCGCTGAGCAAGGAGCCTGCTGTGGGGCTCCACTAGGAGCCTAGGATCATGATGTGAGCTGAAGGCAGACACTTAACTGAGCCACCCAGGCACCCAATAAATTTTTTTTTTAATATGTGCATACTTAGAAGAAAATTTGAACTTTAATAACGTAAAAGGTAAGCACAGATTCTTCACATGGGCAGTGTATGTTAAATCACAAAAGAACAAGATGAATGTGAAAGTGATTTTTTTTTTTTTAAGTAAACTTGAGAATAGTCTTATGGGAAAGCAGAAGCCAATGAAATGGTTTATAGCATTGGTATTTATCAGAGGTGCAAAGTCTTCAGTTTGTCGATCTCAAATGTTCAGCTCTGTTTACTTTGAAAACTTGATCTTTGCAGATTGAACAAGAAAAGTTGGCCTCTATGAAAAAGCAAGATGAAGACAAGGATAAGAGGGATAAGGAAGAAAAAGAAAGCAGCAGAGAAAAACGGGAAAGGTCTCGAAGCCCAAGGAGGTATAATACACACGCGTACCTGTTTGCAAGTACTTCTAGGTAGTAAGGTGTTCTGTGTGTAGAAAGGTGCATAGTTAAAAAGGAAGCTAACAGCACTACTCAGAGAATGTCTTCCATTGTACAATTTTCACAGTGGACTAAGGTTTGTCTCTGGCTTAAAACACTTGTTTTGTTTGAGACAGATCATTTGACTATAATAATTGTCTCTAAAATCTTGGTGAATTATACAACTCTTAATTCCTAAATCAAAATCTAGACTTGTCTTCCATATTGCATTTGTTTAAATATGGCATTTAATTATTTTAATCTACTCCAACTCTTTTCTTTCCTTTTTATTAGAAATCTGTGCCCATTAGCCATTCGTATTATACTTAACCTAATTCCCTGTTCTGCTTTTCTTAGATGGTTGTATTGAACCAAAAACAGATCATTTATTTGTTTTCTTCTTCCTTCCAATGAGACTATGGTTAGGTTCCCATTTTTAAACCTACGACTCAGCTTCTACTGTATTTGTGGTGAAAGGTGAGAATTCTACTAGGCTTTCATTTTTAGAGTTCTAATTTTTTCATAAATCTGTTGGAATTAGTAAAGGGAGGAGGAAATTTCTTTGTTCATTTTAATTTGTATATCTGATATTAAAACTTTATCAGGGAAGCAGTATTATTTCTAGAGTTAAGCACATCACTGTGATAACTACTTCACTACTGATGAACCAGATCTGCCCTTTCACTTCAAGTTAGGGAAACTATTATTGTAAAGGAAAGGGGGCTTCTCCTTTTTCAAAAAGGCTATGTAGGTTTGACGTATTTCTCTTTTCCGAAGAGGATATTAACTTTAATTGCACTAGTCATTTTTCTGGAATACCTGCACTACCTGACAAACTCTGTGGTGGGATCTGTCTGCATCTAAACTGGTTGGGTTTGAGTTACTATTACGGAATCTCTCTTTACTTTCAAGCATCCTCTTCCTCTGAAAAGTTGGTCTTTAGTCTCCTCGTCTCTGGGAATGATTAAGACTCTAAATGTAGTGTCCTAGATCAGTGCTTTTCTCTCACAACTGGTGTATCAGAGAATGTTGTTACCTTTTGTTTGCTTGCCTTT